ATTATTTCTCCCATATAATGCAAGCTTAGATGAGAAATACACAGCCATGTACTATCCATTTCAACAAAACTCAGTTACAGATAAAGCAGAAATTGGTAATAAACTATAGACTACTCCACATCAACTAATCAAATTTATTAAACCTATACTTACAGTCATCAGTCTTTAAAGTAAACTTGACTCCAGCTCCTCTCTCCTCCTCTTTGAGGGCCACTATTTATTTATTCCCAGTCCTTTAAGTCTTCGCTCCAACATTACCTTCCCCCCTCCCCGGATCTACATAAGTCCCATAGAAAATAAGCACTTGAAACTGATGTAAAAAGTAATATATAATAAGGAGTTATTTCCACGCAGACTCAAAACACCTTTTTCTAAAATGAAGCATTTTATTACAGAAACCAAATTCCAGAGCTTTATTAACTCTAATGAAAAGCCCTTCGGGAACAGACTCAGATACCACCAAGAACAAAAATCCTGGAATAGTAACATTTGGAAATTGAAGTCAGAAGACACTGTAAGGTTTATACACGTGTTATATTTCTGGTCTTTTGACCAGCAATTTTTTTCAGTTCTGTCACCTACAATCTCTTCACCTCATTCTAAGTAACATTCTTCTAGTAGCAGTATCATTATTCTAAATCTCGGCAGCATCAAAAATTAGTATGTACAAAAACCATCATAATATCCACAATAACAGTCTTGCACACTATGCCACCTTTTGAAACCTGTCTTTGACCCATACTCCAATTCCCTTCTCATCTTTATAGCTCTTGCCATCTCGCCTTAAGAAAGGGGAAGTGACCGTTGCTCACCTGGGACCAGCAATGTCTTCCCCCTCCCTAGAAGGGAGTCAGCTCTGGGAACAACACAAGGCCCCTCTCTCCACTGAGCCCTTGGGAGTAGGAAGGGATCCCCTCTGAGGATAACGGATTAGGATGTGCTAGGGTAGGGCTCCAAAAACCCAGAAAGGGAGAGGAAGAAACAAGGGAGAAGTTGAATGTCATGACCCTTCCAGCATCATTTGCACTAGTCTTTGTAAAATGACATCAAGCAAGTTGGGCTTGGCTCTCGGATCAGAGAGCAAAAACATATGCAAGCCCACCCTCCCAGCAGTCCACACATCTAGTCAGGAGATCAGTGGAGCTCTAAAAACATCTAACACATGAAGATCCCACGACTCAAATTCAGGATACTGATGGATCACTAAAAATTAAATCAGATCTCTATCACATCTTTATAACTCAAATACTTCCTAGATTTCCCCTTATCCCACTGACTGCTGCTATCCACCCTTTTCACATTCTTACTCTTCTGTACCTCAAGACCACTCACTCCCAACTAACAGAATTTTATTAAAACACATCTTTTACACTTTTTTTTTTTTTTAGTGTTAATCAGCTGTCACATCTCACTCCTCCAAGCTTTCTATCATTTTTCCATCCATTTCCTTACTGCTCACAAGGGAAGAAAAAAGGGGTTGGAGTAGGTAAGATGGATGTGATATAGTATGGACGAGGATGGGGAGGGGAGCGGGGTGGTCTTTTTTTTTTTTATAAACAAGAAAGGAGCAGCAATCTGCAGTATAATGATCACATTGATGAGTAGTATGTCCATCTACTTTATGTGGCTCAATTACGCTTGTTACGTGGCTCAATTTACTAAATGTTCAAACTAAAGAAATGTAAGTATGACCAGCAAGCAGGGATATTGGGCTGTATGCAACAGACTAAGTTAATTTAAGGAGTAATTCTATTTTAATTGCAAGAGCAATCACAGTTTCTAAAAAGTGTGGCTTTAAAATACATTTATTTTAAGGCAGTGTTTAAGATGCACATATCCAATGAAGCATTAGAAAAACACACCTTTGGACAAGTTTAACAAATAACTAGAAATGAAAACAATGCTGATTTCTATGAAAAAAAATATTTGCAAATGAGATTTCAGTAAATCACATCAAATGAATACGCTACCTGAGCAATGTTGTTATCTGACAAAAGACAATTAAAAGGGAAAAGGACCTAAATAATTTCACGTTTAATGAGCCTACAAAATTAACTGAAACTGCATTCCAGACTCAAACTGTACTGAGTATTTGCTACTGAAGTTCTAGTGACATATCAGATTTTACTTAGCAAGAAGTTACCTAGACACAGTATTTCCTTTTTATTTTAATTACTCTCAAGCAATAATAAGACAAGTGTCTTACTCTGGGAGCATCTACTAGTTCTGAAGTTGACTGTCAGCATTTTCATTAAAACAGCCTATTTTCAGATTAATTATAATTCAGCTATAAAAAAAATCTCCTTTCAACTGTGACTGCTTGTAAAAAATAGTGCACTAATATGTTTTTCACATTAATATACTCTCCAAATTCCCAATAAACTCTTTATCTCTAAGTTAATGATTCAACCAAAAAGGGCTTGTAACTATACTGTAACTCTAATTCTTTTCAATGTCTTATTATAGGATGCGTTCCCCAACACATTAAATATTTAACTAAAATTCTTTAATTCTCAATACAAGTTTACTCTAACATTTCTAACTGTATTATGGAAAAAGCAGATATCCATGGTAAATACAAGCTGTGTTCCTACAAACTATTATCAAGTTTGCATCTAGTCTAAAGAAATGTATTAACCATCTCTTAAGAGCAGTCATATAAATATATCTTGCCTCATGCATAATCAAATAAATGAGACAAAACTAGTCCAAGATCCTACAGATTTCTGTTTCTATCCCACAATCTCATCATTTTACTAAATAACACTTTGGAGAATATTCTGAAGTAAAGACTCTCTTTCTTAATATTATTTTTATTAAGCTACTTGACTTCTCATCCAAGTAATCTGGTTAAAGAATGGACATTCAATATATTCTACAGAATATGTTTACCTGGAATTTCTATTTTAAAGTTGTTTTAACGATTATTCAGCTAATTTAGAAACAAATACACCATCTAGCAGTCATTCCTGAAGAAATGTTTTGTACTTTGTAGTCTTCCTTTAAAAACAAGGGTATGCATTGATTCTTACACCAGACAAGTTAAACTGCTTCTAATTTCTCCTTCACTAAAACACAGGGGGGGAAAAAAACAACATCATTTTGGGCTATGTTCACCCAAACTAAGACCTACAAAAATACAATCATTGTACATCTGAACCACAGTCATATTCATTTAAGACACAAATGATCTTCATTGAAACCTTAAGGACAGTTTAGTCATGCAACGCAAGGAAGTAAAAAAAACTCACCCTAAAAAAGCCACCACTTTATGTTGAATCCAAATACATCTTTAGAATAATTTAAGAGACTATTGCTGATACACTTCAAGTATTTCTTTCCTCTTAGAAGTATTTGAGCATTCTTCTTTCTGTAGCCATTTTTTCATAAAATAATATTGACCCCCAATTTCATTTATTGACTCATTTCTAGCTACAACACTGACCTTATTCATTTCTTTAATAGCTTATTTCTTGCTGGTACTGTTTCCCTTCTTGCCCCTTTGTTTTTCTTACTTTACTCTTTGATTCATCCCTAGAAGACCCCAAGTAAAACACCACTGTGCAGAAAGCAGACGGAAAGCAGTATTCTTATACCATTTTCTTTCAAAAAACTGTAATAGGCTATTTCTTTAAACCGATTTCTCCAACACGTGTGGAGGAGCATTTACATTAAACAAATGAAAGCTAGTTCTGCATTTAGCTTCTTATGTCATCTAATGAACTATCAGAAGATGTTCTGTGTGGCTCTATAATGATACTAACAGAACCTACATGGAAGTACATTTGAAGGTCTAACTAGAACCATTAGAAAGGAGAAGAAATTGAAGGATTAAAAGAAATAACTGAAAGAGGATGATTCACACCATCTATACTATTTATGACCTATATACTTTACAAAGATAAGTTCCCGTGGGATTCATTTACTCAACCATATAGACCAATTTGATTAACAAATTTATCATTAATTGATGTATATCTACTATGGTAGTAAAAGAATTTAAATAGTGTGCTCAACATATAAAACTTACAAAGAAGCAAAATCAAAAGAGGAACACAAAGCAGTCATGCTACAAATTCACAAAAAGATAATTTCCCAAGTGGAAGACTATAATAAGAACTTCCAGACCTTGAACAATTTTGACAAATACATAGAACCATGGGAACTATGCTCTGGATTACTTCAAAAACACATTATTAACAAAATATATAAAAAGCAAGAAAGGAAGAAAAACTCAAAGGCACAAGACCGAAGAAAAGCCTGACAGATTCGATGCAGGAGATAAATTAATTTGACAACACTTGCTATTTTGACTTCAGAACTAGCTTTAAAAAGTCCAAAAACTGAGGATATATAAGTATAGGCTAAGAATAACAGTGTAAATATGAGTAGTAAAAGGAAAGGCATCTCACTAATAACCAAGGCTGTGATATCAGATTCATTAATAAAATTATTTCTAAAAAAAAAAAAAAATAAAAAATCATTCTTACCTCTGTTACTTTGGGCTGAAGTCTTAAAACTTCAGGACTCATGCGTGGGATATCTATATGGATCTAATTAGACAGAAAGAAGAATACTGTAAAAGGAACCAACAGCACACTTTTTTAACAACACAATAGTTAAAACAATCCTATGGTTTTACAGTATTAGTTATAATCCCGTGCTATCACTATTTTTGAAATAACATGGATTTACTGTATTTCAAAACATACTGCCAAATCTTTAAGTCATTGTTAAACTATCAATGAGGCAAAATAAAAAATCCATATACTTTGTTTTCACATTTTAGGATCCTTATATCACATTTTGACTGTTTGCAAATTATAGTCATATTGGCAATACTCATTACCTCAGGGTAATTACAAGTAAATACATACTACTACTTCTGTAAAGCCATGTTCAATTGACACTATCATATATACTTCTTGCTACTAAAGGTCAGGCTTGAAGCTGAAAGAAAGATCTCAGCTTCTTCTGTCCTAAGGAAGGCTAAAATAGAATTGCTTAGTCTATACTTAGTGATACATACTATCCGTTTTAACACAAAACTTGAAGAAAAGTTATCTGCTTATCTGGGTGGGCAAGAAAGTTTGACATGCCTATGTTTATTGCACATCATACACAGTTTCAACTTCTTAAGCAGAAGTATGGAGCTGGTAAGAAACAGTCACTGCTATACTTTCTCTGTACCACCCTCACTCATTTGAAGGATGCTCTGAGCAGGAGATGAAAGATCTGAAAACCCTACTATTCTTAAATGGAATACCATGGCAGCGCCACATGGCATGACTAAAGCTGACATTAAAAGAAATCCACTATTTCAAATTTCAGACCAAAATATTTCATATTTTTGCTTCTGAAAAGTAGAAAAACAATTGATTAGAGAGCTGTCTATCAAGTAAGATTAAAGAATAGAGAAAAACAATAGCAAACTTCAAAAATAATCTCTAAGTTCTTTAGCAGATGTCCTGTAGGTAAAAGTCACTTCAACAGGTATTCTACCTGTCTATAGGTATCTTGGTGATTTTCATCATTTCTGGAATCATAGTATTGTTCAACAAATGCAAAATACTCTTTGCGTTTTCTTTTTAAAGTGCTGTCTCTTCGGTCCACATTTGCAGGAAGATAGCCCTGAAAAAAACAGTGAAATGAAAAGGATATTACTCTTTGCCTTACAAAAAGCACTGCTGGCATTTGATTACATGTGACAGGAAAGCTAATAAACTGATGTAGTGCCATGCAGTCCTACGTGGACCTGAATAACCCTTTAGTAAATCAGTTTTCTAATCATTCCAACTGATACAAAAGTTCAGGTACAAACACCTTACTAAAATCAGCTTTTTTTTTTTAAAGAAAAAGTTTCAAGTTTTCCACCTTTAAAAAGCAATTTCTCATCAAGAATTCTAAGATGATGTTTGCCTTCTGAAGAGAAAAGCTCAAATAAATAAGTTCAGATAAATGTAATGCTATATGAGTTCATTAATTTCTGCATTCCTATGCAGCCATTATTGGAGCATTTTTATTAAATTTTAAACAAAATGCATATTACCTCTGTTGCTTTCAAGTAGGAATGATATACATTAGCAAATATGTTTAAATTATGGTTAAACTTGTAATACAATGGAGTATTAATTCAAAGGCTTTGAAAACATTTTAGCTACTTTATTTCACTGTTTCAGATGAGGAAAAAAAATAATTTCAAGCTTTCATTTCATCTCAACAGGTTATTAAAAGTTTCATCACAGAAAAGACTCAATAGCACCAGTGACTGGGCTCTTAGATGTAAGAACACTAGCTATACATTTCCTTAGTTGTTTCCCAAAAGCAATTTATAAATATTATCTTATTATCCATAATAAGGAAATCATGTGTCAGATATGCAGGACTATACATTGTTGTATTAAGTACAAAATATATCTGAATGGTTCTTCATTTAACTCATTCATATATACCTGAAAATCCCAATCTTAAAAAAAAAATCCATTCTCATTTTCTTTTTTTGTCCAGTTTGATCCTCATTTCTGTCATCTCAGCCTACTTTCCATTTAAAAAACAAGCTCAGGTTACTATTTCAGCATTTTATGAAAGGAAATATCATGAATGTTATTAAGTGTTCGGTTTTATGTATAAAGCACACTTATTAGAAACACCATTATTCACGTAACTGGCTACCAAAAAGTTTCCTGAACATTCAGAAATAGTTAATGCTTTCTTATAAGCAGCTTGATTTCAAACGATCAACACCAATATCCTGTAACACTGTAAAAAAGAAAGCTAGTTCATATTTTACATACATGGCAGTCCTGAAAAAATACTTTGTATAAGAATCATTCTAAAGTTAAATGGCTTTGAAAGAGATCTGGACATCCAAGACAATATAAGAAAAATCTAATAATCGTATTACTCACTGGTCAAGTCAAATTAAAATATTTCTTGCCAATATTACAAAAGCTCTCCTTCCACAATAACAGCTATCACCATACTAATGGTAATTAGTAAAACAGAGAAGTCAAATTTATGTCAGATTTAAGTTTCCTTAAAAAAAAAAATCTTCACAACATCAAAAAATCCTATACTAGATAGAAGTACAGCATATATTTGCACTTATACAATGAGCCATAGCCACCACAAGTAGCTAATAAAATGCTGTGCATTTAACTACAAAAACAACTTTCTTATTCAGTCCTAAACACTACAAGCAAAAATGAAAGCGGTAAACCTAACATGCTAAAATTGCTAATTATACAATAAAATTAAACACTCTAAGAATAAGTATATAGGTTCCATTGCTCCCCTGCAACAATCCAACATCATATCCCATTTCTACAACTTCTGTTTTGCTCAACATTTAGGGAGCAATAAAATACACACGCCATACTAAAACATCAATAGGTTTTTGTAAATATCTCTATATTAAAACCATTTAAAAGGTTTTCCTGTATATTTTAATTTCTTAGTTTAAGATGACAACAGAGTAAGTACAAACCATATTACATTCCAGATACCTTAAAAGGTACTTGCTTTGGCAAAACCGTATCTTTTAATATGTACCGGCCTGCATCTGGTTCCAGGTACTTTAAATTGCACCAGCTTAACTTTTGCCTCAAGACTCAGTCTGACATTTAATATCCTGTCCCAGTGTTTTGTATTGTTAAATATTGAATTCTGCCTCCTGTTTATTCTCAACAGTTGGTTTTTTTTCCTGTAGGATATCTTAGTTCCATTAGAAAATAATTCATTTGTGAGATCAAACGTGATTGTTCAAGGGATGCCAATATTTTCTCAGCAAGTCATTTTGCCATTATTCAGTTTCAAAGACTGAAGTAATCTTTCAGCTGGACATGTCTTGTTTCCTCTTCACTTTACAAATTAGGTTTTATTTTTAAAAGTTGGAAAGGCTTGAACATATCATCAGGGAATAAATTGGTGGAGAGTTTAATCCGGTTATTCATTAATTTCCTCCAAAGGCTTTTGCAACCATATCTTTAATTTTGTTATTCAAAAGAGAATTGAGCCTGAATAGTTCTGCTTGCTGTTTAGGTACAGTATACCTAACGTTTTACTGTATTCTAAAAATAAATCATGTATCTTTTTAATACACTGTTATCAGTAGACTTGCATAACATCAACAGCCCCTGAGCATTATATTGATTTTCATATGCTTTCCCTTTGGAAAACTGTATTCATCAAACACATGTTAACGTTATTAACCTTCTGACTATGTAATAAATATCTCAACTGTTCAATTTTTTAAATCATATTTCAAAAATTCCAACTTCAATGCTGATTTTACAAACAAGACAATCACCTTCTGCGTCAGATACTACCAATTGTACTCAGTTCCCCAAATAAGTCATAGTTTGGGCTTTTTAAGTAAGACTTCTGAATAATTCCAAAACAAACACATCCAGCCTTAATTTAGCTCTAAACTATGCTTTGGTTTCTTTGGTTTTCTGGTCTTTTTTGGTTTTGCAACTGATCTTTAACCAAAACAGTTTTGCTTTTGCACACTTATTTCCCCAATAGCTCCCAGTCCACTTTATAGCACAAAAGATTATCACATTACCCCCTCTTACCTGGGACGTACATTAGCAATAGGTAACATGTTTAAACAACTAATGTGACTTAAAAATTAATTACCATTAGAAAAAAACATCATGGAGTTTATGACCACAAATACTCAAAGCACTTTTTCTTCCCCACTTTGGAAAGAAGATGAAACAAGCTGCTGCCTTACAGTACAGAAAAGTAATGATTACTAGATGACTCATCTTTGGGTTTCCAAAATGTATTAATTGAGGACCGCTTAGTAGATAAGAAATCATGGTAAGAATTTACCTAAGTAATTCCTAAGGGAACTCCACACTTAGGAATTTAACTAGACTGGGAACCTCAGGAATACTAAACTAAAATCAACTTATGGGATGAAGTTGAAGCTCACAGAAAGCCCATGATCTTACTTTAAAGTAAGAAAGTGACTGCAGTTAACTTTTGCATCATTCCAATTCTCTAAAACTCAGTGTCAGTCCTCTGATTCAGAACTTACCTAATCCTTATGCTTTAGCTTACTGTGTTTCAAAGTCAATTCTGAGTTAGCAATATTTTTTTTTACTTTGTGTGTTTTAGAACGGGCATCCTAAACTTCAAGAGGAAAAAAAAGAAATGCTGTTTTCATTACTAAAATCTCAGACAACTTTGGAAACAGAACTAAAATAAATTGTACACTGCATGTTTAATTACAATTACAGCAGGATATTTGAATATCCACCATTAAGAAGCCGCATCTGCATCTAGCATTAGAAGGAACTAAGCTGCAAATTTAGTAGAACTCATCAGCAAGAGAGACTCTTTCAGTCACTGGAAATCAGTCTCAATCTGAAGTAAATACTTAGCATTCCCTGCTGAATTATTCTATAAAAAGCAAAGTTATTTAAATCCACTCTCTGAAAAATTCAAGTGTTAAACTGTTGTGTGTATAACTCAGAATTTTAAACAGTTCTTAAATGCATGAAGATTTGCTGACAAAGTGTCTTTCACAGCCTCTGGAGAGTAGACAGCACGAGATTTTTGCTTCTTTTTAATACAAACATCTTCACAAGTTTTTCTCCCAACCACAGTCAGACAACAGCTAAAAATGCACAACCGTTTGCCATCGCAAGTATTATAGCTGAAAAGATTGACATGAAAAATACTCCTATGAGGAATACATCGTATTTTTGCAGAAGAACCTTTTAAATATAGTACAAACACTGAGATTTAAAAAAATCCAGTTCTGTAAAGCCAAATCCAGTGAATCCCAGATTCCCGCAAGCTTGTCTCTGATGCCCAACTGAAATACCATGTGCTGTTCCATGGTATTTCAGTCAACCGACTCCCAAGCTACTGCCGTTGCAAAATCCTCTGACCACCGGGCAAAGTTCAGAGAGCTCAGCCAGCCAAAAACTCACGCTACAAAAAAGTGATTAGCTTTTTAATTAGCTTGTCTCCCTGAACTGACTTACAGGTCTGACATCAGGAGAGCCAATGCCACATGATAACTGACCACAGAGGTTCAGATTTGTTCGTCTCAAAGCACTACAGAAAAATCAGCCAAAAACCCCGTAAGATCCTATCACAGCTTTTCCTCAGTACAGTGTTAATCCTTTCTTGTAGTTACTTTAATGTGAAGTCAAAACGAAGCCTTTTGTAGGATACCGATAGGCTTCATTTCCTCTACTGTGTGCCTATTTTCAAGAAAACTGTAAGAATGTACTTGTCTTTGAACTCTCCACCATTCCATCAAAATTGGTTGAAAGAGGCCACTGTTATCACATAAGCCTTTCTTTCATAGAAAGCCAGGCTGAAAAACAGATATACAGCTGACATGATTTACTACCATTTCTCATTCCTCTCCTTTCAGTTTGACAAATTAATCTTGAAACTGAGCAAAAGACAGAACTTTCATTACAATTCAGCAACAAGACACAATGTTTTCAAGTATCACTGAGGGATTACAACTCAAGCAAAATTATTTGCAATGCTTGAAAAAACTATTACTACTAAATGCAAAGGAAGAAAAAAAAAATGCAACTTACAGAAAGAAGCTTCCATGCAATTGGACGAACCCGTTTGGGAATGCCAGACCAACTCAATTTCCGTAATTCTTCTAATGAGAGAGAAGCATTTCATGAGAACTAAGGAAACTATTATCAATTAATATACACAGATATATTCAAATTAGCACAAAGTTGTTTACAACAATGATCACGTCTTCTTATAAAGTCCAATTAAATCAGAATTATATGGCAATTCTAATGAATTAATAAAATACTGAATAATTACTATCCATAGGGATACCTATGATAATAGGTACTGAGTGTGATAAGGTAACTTTCTGGAGTATTTCTCAGCATTACTTTTTAGTATACATGCCTTATATTAACATGCAAGAGATACTCAGACTTATATGCATAATATAACAAATATAATATGCTTACACAGATCCTAATTAAAAATGAAGTTGCAGTTACAGAAACAGAATGATACTTTATGTCTGAATGTTGGAACTTAATCCCATGCCATATTCTCACTTTTCATGTTGTACTCCTTTCTCTTGAAAGCTGCTTGTCAGAGACCATACCCAGCTAAACCAATCTGTGGGACTTCACACATTTTTTGTGATAACTGTTTATCATGTGAAAAAAATTATAGAAAAATCATGGAAAATGTAAAGACAAAAGATGCTTAACAGTGTCCCTAAGAAACAATATTTTCATGAGACATCTACTTGTAGCTCCTTCTCTTCTTACTCTGAGCAGAAAATATGGGTTAAAACGGCACAAGTTTAAATTATCAACCTGCTAAAGAATACAGAACAACAAAATTCTACATTTTACTTTGTGTATACTTATTCCAGTTAATTGCATATATATTTGAGTTAACTATGTATACTCCAGCAAATTTGGTCTCTATCATATGCATGTATTTTCCAAATTCTATGCTTCGACAAAGACTTTTAAAACATTCTGTCTATCTACCCACCCCAAGAAAATAAAGCACAGAAGAAAGTAATTAGAATAAGAACTTTCTGAGTGGATACCACAACTGACTTTGGCCATTTATAGATGCATATTCTCTTTATTTTTTATTAAGATAAGGACTCCTATTAGCAACATCTGTCTTCATCCTCCTTCTAGTACTCTGAAAGAAATGTGCATCTATGATATGAAGAACCGCAAATTATCATGTTAGGTGTGGTATCTTATCGCAAATTATTTCTAGACACATTTAAAGCTATGTTTAACCAGGAATGAAAACATAGTCCACTGAAACGAGTACAATATTTTAAAAAAATATATATATTCCAAGAAAAAGGAATCTGATTTTAAAAGTGTACTGATGCTAAATAGTTAATGCAAAAAAAAAAAAATCTTAATTAACAATTAAAGTTTCTCAAAGAAGCATCAACTAAAGCAAACAAAAAGCTCTAGTAACCTGGAGTTTGCAGTATGGAGTTACCTGATCATTAAGATGCCCTATTTTTACTTTAGATACATGCTAGGAAAAATGATACTTACAAAATCCATTTTGTCTTAAAATGAGATGACAGCATTAATATGAAGTTAAATAAATCATAGCAAAAAAACCCTCCAGCTGGATGAATTCATACTTCCATCTTTTTCTTACACAAAATACAGAGAGAGAAAAATTGACAGGAGGCAGAAAGGAAAGATTGTTATGGTCATAGGTAGATGAGTGGTTTCAGGGTGGTCACTTCAAACCAATCATGACTATTCCAAACAGACACGGGCTTACCAACAATTGTTCAAGTAAGAAAAACTTCACAGTACTGGATATACACATTCAACAAGTTATGTTTTCCCTCTCACTTTGAGCAGCAGGCTCAGCCAAGACAACAGCAGCTGCACAGAAATCTCACTTAGAACAGTGAGACTACATCACCAAAATCCAAGCAAAACAGTGACCAGGTGCTGCATTAGGATCAAAACACAGCAGAAACTCAGAAAAGCAGAGAAAAAGAACAGATATTAAGAAACAAGATGTTAAAAGCCCATCACATCGAGGTGAATGTGTCTATTACAAGTCTTGAATCCAGTCTAAAGAAAAAGGACGATTTTCTCATAACACCAATGAAATTGTCGTTCATCTATAGGCTTTAAAATACTATTGTATTTGACAAAAATAAGTTTCATTAATGGAAGCTTTTCTTTTCTACAACATTTCATACCCCTGAAGAAGTCAAAAGACACTGACACAGGGGAAAAATTGAAAAAAAGTATGTTGTTGACTTAAAGACATGGTTTGTTCTGTAGTTTTGTTTTTAAATGAACTGATTTATATCTTTCCTATAGAAGAAGAAATACTACGACGTCAAGGTGACACACCTTGTTAAAGCAAGAGTACATAAACAAGTCAAGGTTATTTTCTATCAGTACAGATTATATTCAGGCATATATTACTGTGTGTGTATATATGTGTACCAAAACAGCAGAATACCTAACCATTTAGGAAGATTATACTGAGCATGATCAAAGATAAAATCAGTCGCATACCTTGGGCAATCCAAAGACTAGAATACCAAATAATAAAGGAAAAAAGTATAAGAACACCAAATATTAACTGACTTATTTGATATCCAGCAAACAGCCTTGTATTTCCTTGTACTTGTAGCCTATCCATCATGTCTATGACAACAGTAAGATTAAATACACCACAGAGTTAATAACATAACTACACTCACTGTAACTGATTATCTTTTATTTTCTTTTTTATTTACATTCCATACCTATACTACACGCTGATCATTTACAGCAAGCATTCTTTGCACAAAAATTGTAATTCCAGTTCTTCCCCTCCCTCTTTATTAATTGGCATAGGCAAATTATTGCTTGCTGTTTAATCTGGAAATAAAAAACATACACTATCAGGCAGAAACAAATTTAAGCTCATTTTACCAGTCCCAACTCCAAAACAAAAAAACACAAGGGAGCTTCGGTCAGGGAGGTCCAAAGTGGCAGACTGAGGGCCATTTTAGGTTCAGAGAAGATCTAGATACAGCAAGGCACTGAACTCTTTTCACTTCCCCTTCTTTAAGCACAGAGGTACCTCAAGAAGGAGCACCTACTGAGGTGCATACAAAATAGTAGTAACAATGACAAAGTTCACTCTTATACCAAGGTTCCTTGATATTAGCATGACTACAAAACCAAAAGAAAACCTTCAACCCTTCTAACACTAATTTCCTAACCCTTACTTCCTACTTACAGATCACTCTGAGTCCCATTTATCCATTTCACCCCTCTTGCCAGACTTCCTTTTTCCTTATTTTCCTCCTTTGTGGCCCTCATCCCTATAGATTTCAGCTGTATCTTTCCTCAAATCATCAATGAAAATTCCACTCCTGTCTTCATTGCTGGCCAATAGAATTCACTGTATAGTTAAGAAAACCTTAAATTATTAACTAAAAAGTGGTACTACCTTTAAAACAGAACTGTAGCTTCAAAAAAAATAAAATTTAAATAATTATTTAAAATATTTTCAAAGGAACCTGCTTTTTGTTCTTCATCTCAGAATAATTCCAGAGGTTGATGCTCTCTTGCTTTCTTACTTATACCAAACTGTAACAATATATTTAACTATAACTTTTTGCATCACAGGTGTTTTAAAATTAACATGTAAGAATGTGCATTAGAAAGGAAAAAAATTTACATAAAGTCCAAACAACCATTACCCTTCTATAATCTAAAGCCTGTAACAAGAACTGCCATCAGAAAAATAAAATTCTATTCAGTTTCACAAAGACAAGCTATTGTAAAGGATCAGTATATCACCAAACTACATTTAAATATACCAGAACCATTAAAGACAAAATATATGCTTTAACGCAATTATTCTTGATGTCATGTTACCTCCCTAGAGCCTGCGCTATTTTCTATTCTTAACTTAAAAACACCAGACTGCTGATAGCGCTTCTGAAAATGAAGTCTAGACAGCAAATTTTGCAGGCTTTTTTTCATATGGTCTTAATTATTTTTAGTTAACTTTGAACACAGTTGTCCTGCTATAACAAGTTCTCACAAGAAAAAAGTTTTTGTTGAAAGAACTCTTTTTATCTCTTAAGTATCAAGTTAATTCTAACCCCAAGTTAATTCTAAATTAGTTTTGTAACTTAGGCAATTTTGCTGTCATGAACTATAGTCAGTTTACCCAATAACTTTTTAAAAAATTCCAAATTTGTTTGCATTTGTAAACATGATTATTCTTTTATAATATTCTCTTTTTAAAAGATTTGTCCCACTCTAGAAAAGTATTTTATCTTATGAAGCAAGTAGACATCATATGTAATGTTACAGTAGTTTTCTCATTCTGTAATATAAAATCCGTGTGTTCTTAACCATCAGCTTGAAAGTTATTGAATAGAACTACTATTTCTATTACTTCTCTCTGTATTGTAAAAATAAAACAAGAATACTTTTTTGTCTCACTTGGCAACTTACTGTAGAAATATATTATTCTTCCACGGCTTTTTGAGATACGTATGAAGGGTATACAGTATATAAAATCAGGAAAAGCAGTTGTAATATATTAGAGTCTAAGCAAAATATAAGCAGCAGCAGCATATGCTTTCAAAAAACATTAAGTACTCACAGTACTTCTGCACGCTAAATATGCATGGGTGGAGGAAGCACAAAAGCATGCTTATACACATAACTCCAAGGAATTATCCCAATAAATTCCTCCCTTATTCTTCATCTTAAGGAGTTGATAGGCACTGGAAGAATATAGGATGACCAAAAGATCAGTAACATTAGAAAAATATGATACTGCTAGAGTTCAGTGTGAACCTAAGTCTCAAAGAAGCAATGAAAGCAGAACTTGTACAGACTATAAACACTGATTAAGAGAGCAGGTGAAGTTTAAATTGAACTATATATCACAGGCTGGCACAACAAATATACTTCATCATGAGTTCGCTGTCACTGCAAACACAAGGGGTTCAATGGGAAAGAGATGTAATAAGCAACAGAAATTCTCTGATATTAAGTGAGTGACTCCTGAATTTCACTGATACTAAGTAGTAAATGGCACCCAGGATTGTCCATTCACGATAAAAACTGAGGCTTGGGCACAGAGATGCATTAAGTA